AGCCTCGGCCGCCAGTGGCGGTCTTTCTTACTCTGTCCACCAGAGCCGTGGCGGCCCTGGGCACCCTGGCCGGCCGGGGACGGACCCGGGGCCGGCGAAGGATTTGTCTTCTTGGGGGGATGGCCCCCCTCTCTCTTGTGATTGTGGAGCTCGTCGGCGTCGGCATACAAGCCTCCGCGCTGGAGCGCCTTGGCGTATGACCTCGGGGGGTCGGTGATGAGGCTCCTAGCGTACGGGGAGCTGCGGAGGGCTCCCTGGTACAAGGCGAGGAGGGTGCGCTCATCGGGCCCCTCGACCTCCTCGGTCTCCCTCGTCCACCGATCGATGAATGACCGGAGGGACTCCTCGTGCTGCTGCTTGACGGAGAGGAGGTGGGTGAAATACTTCTTCGCGCGCTTCCTCCCGGCAAAGTGAGTGAGGAAGCGTTGGGCGAGATCCTGCCATGAGTCAATGCTTCCTTCTGGCAGTCCGTTGAACCACTCGTACGCTGGCCCCTCGAGAGTAGAGAGGAACCAACGGCAGAGGTATTCGTCGGACGCGTTCACCATCAGCATGTTGTTTTGGTAACGGCTGAAGTGCTCCTGGGGGTCTGATCGGCCATCGTAGGACTTGATGGCGTTCCCCCTGTACTTCTCAGGGATGGGGGCCGAGAGGACCCTGTTGGTGAAAGGGGTCCTCGTCCTGACCTGGATGATGGGGTCACCCCGCCCTTCGGCCAGCTCCCTCTCCAGGGCGCTAACTTTGTTCATGAGCGCGTTGAGGCCGGGGTCGTTGGAGGCGCCGGCCGTAGGGATGTTGGCCGACTGCTTGGCCTCCATCTGAGCCAGCCTCCTTTCCAGCTGGGCGATGACCTCGTCCCGGGGGTCCCTATCGGCCGCGGCGGCGCCCGTCTGGTTCCTTAGGCGCTCGTTGTGAGCCGCGTTGATCTGGTGACGCACGTCATCCTCGTGCAACTTCCCCTTGCCCTTGTCCGGGCGGGGCTGGTCCGCTGTCCGGGACACATACCCCAAGCTTTCCCTCGGCGAGCCAGGACGAGGATCACCAATCCGTCCCGCCATCCTCTCCGAAACCGGACGACGGCGCGTGTCACCTAGCCTATTGAAGGCAGAGGCTTTTCCACGCGCTGGGGTCTGCCCGGGCCGAAGAGGGGAAGCAGGGTGGGAGTGGGACGACGCCGTGTCCTGGGCCATAACCCCCTCATTGTTGCCTATCTGGACGGCCAACGGTTGGGGATGAGGAGGTGGAGTGATGTTTCCCCCGGTCCTTGGCAAGAGTGCGCTGAGGACGGTGGGGTTCTGAGCTAGGCTGGCGATGATAGCCGATAGTGCGGCCTGGACTTGAGGATCTACGGACGGAGAGGCCGCGGCCATAGGCTGGGCCGGGGCGTGATCCGTCTTCTCAGCTCGCTTCTTGTCCAAGCCGAGGCGGGCATCAGGGCCGCCGCCGTTGAGTTGGTTGCGGAGGTCCGTCGTGAGGTTGAAGGCCTCCTGGAAGAGGTCCCCTCCGCCGACCTGGTCAGCCGTGGCGTCCTCATCGTGCTCCCTGGGCTCTTGGTCTTCAGGGATGGCTTTGCTGACGAGGTTGCGGTTTGACTTAGTTCTCCCCATGATCAGTGGTTAGCTGTGCTTGGTAGCGACGAAGGGTGCTAACTTGATTGTTCTAGCTCTCAACGAGAGCACCAAATGATAGAGTATATCTAGAGAGAGGTGAGAGCTAGAGAGAGAAGTGCAATAATATGCTTTAATAGAATGAATTTGTAACCCCTATAACTACTCCCAAGGGGAGTATTTATAGAGAAAATTAGGGTTGGGCTCCCAAGCCTTGGGCTTGGGAGGCCCATTTACAACTGGACCGCTACTGGGCCGAATACAAAGCCACTAATGGGCTGTACAAATGAGTAAGTATAAAATCCGATTCTGTGAGGTCTTCGTGGCCGACGAGGGCGTGGCCGACGAGGGCACGACCGACGAGGGCACGGCCGACGAGGGCACGGCCGACGAGGGCACCCGGGTTCCTTGGACTCAGGACCATGATCCGAGTTGGCCCCTTTTCGGCCGACGGGGCGTCTTGGCCGACGAGGGCGCCACTATGTTGTCTTGTGCTTTCTGCTCTTCCGAGTATGTGGGTCCTGGGGCTCAGACCCATATACTCCATCAGTACCCATGCATACACACGGGAAAGAGCAGTTGGTGCATATATTTGTACTTATGATCTAATTACACATTAATATATAAATATTTCTTGCTTAATCATTAACAAGATTATCTTCTTATATCTAAAAGCACCACATATGAGAGAGATAACTCTCCCGCTCAATTGTTAGCTTACATTTCTACTTATACCTAAAAGAAGTACATATGGGAGAAAAATTTTCTTTCTCAATTGTTAGTTAGATTATCATACTTAAAAGAACTACATATGAGAAAGAAAGTTTGTCCGCTCAATTGTTAGCAAGTTTATTTTTTATCTTCATATATCTAATATCGTTACATATGAGAGAGAAAATTATTTTGTTCAATTTCCCCGCTCAATTGTTAGCAAACTTATATTGTAATATGCAGAAGCATTACATGTGAGAGAGAAAATTCTCCTGCTCAATTATTAGGAAGTTTATTATTTTCAGTTATTCAGAACCACTACATATGAGAGATAAAGTACGCACGCTCAATTGTTAGTCGGCTTATCTTCTTATACTTAAAAGCACTACATATGAGAGAGAGAGAGTTTTCCCGCTCAATTATTAGCAAGTTTATCTTCTAATATATATAATAATACCTAAAAGCATTACATATGAGAGAGAAAATTTTTCCCACTCAATTTGTTCGCTCAGTTTTTAGCAAACTTATCTTCTGATACATTGAAGCACTACATGTGAGAGAAAATTCTCCCGCTCAATTATTAGCAAGCTTATTTTTTTATACATAAAATCACTACATATGAGACACAAAATTCTTCTGTTCAATTGTTAGCCAGCTTATCTTATCTTATACTTAAAAGAACTCCATGTGAGAGAGTTTTCCCGCTCAATACCTAAAAGCACTACATATGAGATAAAAAATTTCCACTCAATTTTCCTGCTCAAATTCTCTTCTCATACCTAGAAACACTATTAGAGAGAAACTTCTTCCACTCAGTTATTAGCAAGTTTATCTTCTTTTTTACCTAAAACCACTATATATGGGAGATAAAATTCTCTCGTTCAAACGTTAGTCGACTTATCTTATAACTAAAAGTACTACATAATTTCAAATGAAAAATGAGCATATAAACTTTTTTGTATTATATAAGGGCTAGTTTATTATTATTGTTATAGTCACTAAATGTTAGCAAGCTTATCTTCTAATACCGAAAAACACTACATATGAGAGAGAAAATTCTATTTTGTGGCTTTAGTTTTTAGTTTGGGAGGAAGCAAGCAGGCTAATTTGGCCCATAATAGCTTTGAATCTCTCCTAAAATAGAAATGAGAACTTTATAAAGGATGCACAGAAAAGAAAATGCGGAAACCTTTATATATGGGACAGAGGGAGTACTTTCTATATATTGGGAATAGCAAATCATTTTGACTACTTAATTGCACAAATATCACTATGACATTAGAGATGATGTTGATGACACCTAATTCCGAAACAAAACAAAAAAAGTCATTTTTTATGACACCTAATTCCCTTTCGAAGGAAACGACAAACATAACAATTGATTTTTAAATTTTGCAATGGAGTTATTTGGCTCATCGAGACACATTTAAAAGTCATTTATTATTCATACGACCATATATAGTACATTTGTTCTTAAATAATTGCAACATTAGAAATTTTACACTATTTGTGTGCTCTATAATGACATAACAATTGATGTTGCAATTTTGCAATGGAGTTGTTTGACCCACCAAGACACACATTTAAAAGTCATTTATTATTCATACGACCATATATAGTACCTCCGTTCTTATGACTAATAATTCGACAATATTTTGCAATATTAGAAATTTTACCCTATTCACGTGCTTTAATATGAATATGTTTTATTTATTAATGTATTAATTATTTATTTTTAAAAAATACCATGTATAATTAAATGCCTCTCATTCTAAATTTTAAAAAGTGATTTTTATTGTTTAATCAGTTTTTAGATAAAGTAAGAAATTGTAATGTTTTTCTTCATAACATGATCATTGATCGATTTAATAACACTTCAAGTTTGGAATAAGTTTGTAAAAAATAACCAATCAATTTATTTTTAATCTTATTAATGTGTATTGAGTATTCTCTTGCAATGCATGGTTCATCGTCTACTTTTTTTTTGCAAAAAATTCTAATTTTCTATGAATAGTGTTCCCCTCAAATGCATGGATCTTTCAATAACGCATATACTTCATGTGAATTACCCTAAATATGACTAAAATTTTCTGTATATCCCAAAATAGGACTTTCATGTTTTTATTCTCAAAATAGGACAAATTATTGTCATGTTTTTACAGTACTGGACTTTAAACATGACAATATTTTCCAAACTTGACAGTAGTTACTCCCATTTTGGGAATAAAAATATACAATCATGTTTTGGAATTTTCAAACTTTTTTACTCCCATTTCGAGAATTTTCCCATACTTCACTCAAATTTGAAACATGTGCTCAAGTATAATCTTATCTAGTTTAATTGAAACGTATAATAGTAATATAAAAACTATTACCTGCATTCCATTCCAGTATTATCAAATAGTCACCTAATTTTACTATTTTTTACGCTTTGGGAAAACCATAAAGTTACAAGTAATAAAATACAGAAGGAATATTAAATTGCTTGCCTTTTATTTAATTATAACAATAGTGGGGAATTCAAATTTGAACCCCATATTTGGGACGAAATTTGATTTTAAACTCCATGTTAAAAAAAGTTGATGTAACCACTTCATCTGATTGAATAAATTAATGTTTACGCCTCATTACTTCACAGATTTTTTTAATAATGGGGTGCATACCTGCATGCATTGGGGTTGGTGCAAAGTCATTCCCACCCAAATAATATATAAAATGAGTTTGAACAAAAATATAAAAAAGTTGCTGGAGAATAATCTATACTGTCATTATCACTAACCTCTTCAAATAGGGAATGAATAGAATTTAAAAAAAGCCCAATATACCTGTAAATAAATGAATAACAATCTTACTTGTATGCATACTCTATCGAAAGGATAAAACACCAAGTGAGTTCTTGGAGAGAAAAAAAAATATTAAGTTTGACCCTATCTTTATTTCCACCAAATTTTGCACTCCAATATTCCTCTCCTTTTCTTCCTTATCAGTTTATCTTGTGTTTTCCCACCTTCCAAACGGATCCTGGTAGTCCACAACATGACAGCATTTGCATAATCCAAGGTTGATTGGACCTCAACTGTATCCACCATCAAACTGACCATAATTCCTAGCTCCAGGCAGAGGATAGTAACCTCTTCCAGCTACGTTTGGACCCGGAGGAAAGCCTGTAGTAGGTTGTTGAATCTGCTGCAGCTGCAATGGCCTACTCATTCTTATACCCATTGTTTGGTTGTTTAGTCCTCCGTTGCCTCTTGCCATGGAAATTCCTGCTCCTGTATGAGCCCCTACCATCTGAATTGTTTGTGGAGGTCTAAGAGAGCCCACACCAGCACGGCCCATACCAGAGCCACACCCCATGGCTTTTCCCATTGTAATAACACTTGGTGTCCTTGTGGTGTTAGTGTGATTAACCTTTAGCTTTTCCTTGCGGTTCATTGCCTCAAAGTCCACCCCAATGTCGACTAATGGATTTGTTTTAGCTGCACATAAAAATTGACATTTATAAAGATAACATGTCTTTTTTTTAAATTTCGATTTAAAATAACCCAACAGCATATAAGAGCTGAAACACGAGCATCAGCCTTAAATCTAGACAACATAATTAAATCCATTCCTTAAAGCCTGTTTGGTAAGAGTTATCTAACTGAAATGGCTGAATCTACTGAAAGGAAAATCATACTATAAATTCTATTTCAACCAAATAAGTAAGTGAATGACTACTTATATGGAGAAAAGGCAAAATAAGCCAGATGGGGGTACCAAACAGACTATTATTATGGTGGGCCAGATGTGGATACATTATAGATGTCAGACAATATTAACAAAAAATGATACAAAAATGAAGCACACACATAGAGGTCACAACTGGTGAGAACTTACGCCCAGAAATGTTCAAATTGACCAGTCCACGGTTGAGTGTATCACTCCAAATGGTTGACTTTATCTCAAGCTTTTCTTTGGCTGGCTGAGAAAGATGCTGAATGGCTAAAGGGGAGACAGTTAATGCTGTTTGAATTTTTGGTGATTGAAGGGCAACCGACATCTCTGAAGGCACTTGGGCGCCATGATGATGTGAGATAAAACTCAGAGCATTATTATAATGATCATTTGTAGTTGTTGCTCCAGTTTGTATACTCATTGAGTGTGGAAATGAGTGTGGAGGCCCGGCAGGTGCATCATAACCTCCAACAAAACCAGCTTGAGCTGGAATAGCTACCAAAGATGGAGGTTGGTGGTTGGTTTGGGAAGAAAACCACATTCCTGGATCAACATGAGTAGTTTGAAAACTTGTCTGTAACAACTGTTGCCCAGGTTGAGCAGCAAAACCTGTCATCAAAGATGCCTGACCAGATTGAGATGGAAACCGGCCATGCTGAGCAGTCGGACCGCTTTGATGAGATACAAAGTGTATATGCAGGGCTTGCTGAGTAGATTGAGGTAGAAATGCAATTGGGTAATTCGGGATTGGTTGCTCACTTTGTGAGACACTCCTAGATGGTGGGAGAATATCAGCCAATATGTCAATATCCTGGCTGGAGATATGAGATGCTGCTGGTTGAGGAACATCAAGATTTTGAGTTGATGAAGGAACATATTCAAGAGGTTGAGCAGCTATGCCATTCGAAGATGGGATAGCTTTGAAGGGTTCACCACCAAAGGGATCCTCAAGGCCCTACATAAAAAAATACTTCAGTTCCTGATATTTCCAAAGGTTCAGAATTTGGATTCAAGTCATTTCTGGATCAAACATGTTCAGTTGGGCCGACTCCTCCCACACTTATATACTAGACTCAAACTCGGTAGACAACAAATGTGAAATACTCAACAAAATGTACAAACTCTTTGTACAATGGAATGGTGGATAAATGTGCCAAAATCGACCTCCAAACGGGCCGCCTTATAAACCACTATCTGACCAGAATTTGATATCATAGGATGATGATGATGATGATGATGCAAAATTGCAAATGCAACTCCAGAAATACTAAAATCCAGAGGGGTTAACCTGTGAAGCTGTAGTAAGTGATCCAGCTGGTACAAGGGCTAGTGGGTTGGAAGAGAATGATTCAACTAGAGAGCCAAGTAAATCCATTTCAGCGTTAGCAGCAGTACTAGTTGCATCATGTGCTGTTTCTAAAAAGGCATTTAAATAATATTTAGAATTTGTTACTCTTGTAGGAGCTGTTATGTTCATCTTAATCTTATTGCTCACCTTTTCTTTTTATTTTATTCCGATCAGAAACATTCATATCAAATCAGTAAAGTTCGGACATAATTTATTACTTTTATTATTATTATTGTTATTGTTATTGTTGTCACTATATAAATATTATTATTTGTATGTTATTGTTGTAGGTTGTTTCCATAATACTACATAATTAGTTATGAATATTGCTATTATTATTACTACCATTATTATGTTATTGTTATTAATTTGACACCATATGCTGTTTCTATTATTAGTACACCATATTGTTATTATTATTGTACTTTTATTTTTATTAATGCTTGTATGTTACTATCAGTATACAAGCATAGGTTGTTGGTATTTGTAATTTGTAATATAATAATAATAGTAATACTACATAATATAATGACAATGATAATCCTTTTAATAATGATAACCATAATTACAATGATAACTATAAGAGATATTATCCGAAATAGGACTAAAACAGTTTGAAAATTCCAAAATAGGACTGCCATATTTTTATTCCCAAAATAGGACTAATTACTGCCATGTTTTGGCAGTACAAGACTTCAAACATGTCAGTATTTTCTAAACATGGCAGTAATTAATCCTATTTTGGGAATAAAAAACATGACAGTTCTATTTTGGAATTTTGAAACTGTTTTAGTCCTATTTTGGGAATAAAAAACATGACAGTTATATTTTGGAATTTTGAAACGGTTTTAATCCTATTTCGGGAATTTTTCCTAACTATAATTACAATTATAATGATTATGATCAATTTTTTTTAAAGCGATTATGATCAATATTAATAAAAATATAACAACATATATAAGAATAATAATACTCCCTCCGTCCCTTAAAACTTTGCAAATTTTCCTTTTTTGGATGTCCCATTAACTTTGCCACTTTCCCTTTTTAGTAAAGAATTTATGGTTCTAGTTATTTCTCTTTCCCCTGTACAAATATCAACCACACAGTTTTTACTTTCTTAAATCCCCGTGCCGGTCAAACTTGGCAAAGTTTTAAGGGACGGAGGTAGTATAATATTATTAATAATAACAAACCCTCAATCAAGTAAGAAAGATTGAGATCAAATCAGATTAAATCAGATCAGAAACATTCAAAATAAAGAACCATATCAGCCTTTTCATCTTAATTGAGTTACCTGCTGGCAAGGAAGCATGAGGATCAATCTCACTCAATCCAACGGCCTCATTGTTTTCTGGTGCACCTATGCCTTGAACTTTACTTGCATCAGGCACAGGTGAAGTTTCCACGTCTCTTTTTATCATTGAAAAGAAATAATGAATATTCGGTATGCACCAAGTAAAGGGTTAAAGCATGATAATATTTACATACAATACCCAGCATTATGTGTGGGTGCACCAACAGCCTCCTCAGTACTCAGAGGAGCAAGGTTTTGTTCTGAAAATTTCCTCTCAAGCCGTTGATTGCTAGGAGTGGGTAGAAAATCTTGTTAATCAACAATTCTTTGTAGCAGACTATTGCCAAAATAAGAGCATCTCCAAAGTTACTACGTAGTATCTATTTTTGAGGAAATTATTATTGACTAAATTACAAAGCATTTTAATTTTTCTTCATACAAAATTTTACTAATGTCATATTGTGTGTCCATGTGCACATGATAAAGAGCAACTTATATGCTTCACTTTCAAATTTTAAGAAAAGTTAAAAACATAGTGAAAATTTATTACAGTCCCAACACTGCGCTTAAAATGGCTCATCATCATTAAGGATCATTCCTTTTTTAAACATCTCAAAATAGGTGGGTCCCAAATTTCCATGTAAATGCCTACAAAATCTGATGGAGAATGCCTTAGATTCTCTATATTTTATTCTTTCATATAGATTCCGGTAGAGAAAAAATATGGCGCAATTGAAGTCAAAGAAAATGGAATTCTTAATAAGCCCTTTGGAGATGCTCTAAGAGTATCAAAAGTAATGAGGAAAAAGAACCTTTCATTTTCTGAGTGGTCCTCAGCTCTGGCACCACCTCCTCTGTAATTCATAAAGAATAATTCATAAAGAATAAGGAATAAGGAAGTGTTTGAAACTGAATATTATTCTGCACACTGAATTCTATTACAAGAGCTGCAATTTATACAAAGAGTAGCTATGTCTATATGGTAAGAAATAATGCTCTCATAAATGAGAAATATATGTAACGGTTAACAATATTAAAATATGTTGAAATATAAACTAGAATAATATTGAAAGGTGGAGAAAAGATTTTCTTTATATTTCATTGAAGGGTAAGGCCCTATAAATATAGATTACAAAGATAGAATATTCCTATAAAAGATGCTATACAATAATACTATATATGGTATATTCCTAATATATTCTAAAGCATATTCTAAAGTATATTCCAATATACTTTCACACTCCCCCTCAAGTTGGAGCATAGATATTTATCATGCCCAACTTGTTACATAAATAACCAACTCGAATTCCATTTAGTGCTTTAGTGAACAAATCTCCAAGTTGTTCCCCAGTCTTCACATATCCTGTAGAGATCAATCCTTTTTGTATCTTCTCTCGAATAAAATGACAATCGACCTCAATATGCTTTGTTCTCTCATGAAATACAGGATTGTTTGCTATGTGTATAGCAGCTTGGTTATCACAACACAATTTAGCAGGCATTGATGTCTTCAGTCCGAGCTCGGTCAATAAATGGCTTATCCATAAGATCTCACATGCAGATTGTGTCATAGCTCGATATTCAGATTCGGCACTCGAACGAGAAACCACATTCTGCTTCTTACTCTTCCAATATACAAGATTACCACCAACAAAGACACAATAACCAGATGTAGATCTTCGATCATCTTTAGAACCGGCCCAATCAGCATCTGCAAAACATTCTATTCTCATGTGATCATGGTTTTGATAAACAATACCTCGTCCTGGTGCACCCTTTAAGTAACGTAATATGTGTTCTACTGCAACCCAATGATCAATGGTTGGAGATGACATGTATTGACTCACTACACTCACAAAATAAGCAATATCTGGACGAGTGACTGCGAGATAATTAAGCTTTCCAACTAGTCTTCTATATCTTTCTGGGTCTTCAAATGGTGTGCCTTCTTGAGTGAGTTGCACGTTGGGAACCATGGGTGTTGTACTTGGTTTTGCCCCTAATTTCCGTGTCTCAGCTAGTAAGTCAAGTACATATTTACGTTGAGATAGAAATTTGCCTTTCTTACTTCATGTTACCTCAATTCTCAGAAAGTATTTCAAAGAGCCAAGATCTTTCGTCTGGAATTGACTATGCAGAAAATTCTTAAGGGCTAAAATACCTGCATTATCACTCACTGTAATCACAATATCATCAACATACACCACAAGCAATGTGACACCTGATTTTGTTTGTTTGTAAAAGACAGAGTGATCTGATTTGCCTTTTATCATTCCAAATTGTTTCAATTGATTGACTGAATTTCCCAAACCATGCACGAGGACTCTGTTTCAGACCATAAAGAGATTTGCGAAGTTGACAAACTTTACCATACTCCCCTTGAGCAACAAATCCCTGCGGTTGCTCAATATAGACTTCTTCCTTAAGGTCACCATGCAAAAATGCATTTTTAATGTCCAACTGATGTAAGTGCCAATCATGAGTTGCAGCGAGTGAAATAAGTAACTTGACAGATGTTAATTTAGCAACAGGAGAAAAAGTGTTAGAATAATCACCACCATAGGTTTGAGCATAACCCTTCGCAACTAATCGGGCTTTCAACCGAGCAACAGATCCGTCTGGGTTAACCTTAACAACAAAGACCCACTTACATCCGATAGATTTCTTCCCTGTAGGCAAGTCAACCAAATCCCAAGTAACATTAAGATCTAAAGCATTCATTTCCTCTACCATGGCATGATGCCATTCGGGATGAGACAAAGCTTCTTTGACAGATTTGGGAACATAAATAGAATCAATGGAAGCAATAAAGAACATGAAGCAGGAGATAACTGATTGTACGACACAAATGAAGAAATAAGATGAGTACAAGACCGTGTACCTTTACGTAGTGCTATTGGGAGGTCAAGATCTGATGTGGAGACAAGATCTGAAGATGCAGGTACTGGTTCAGGACATGAGATCGGAGTCGAACTAGTATCAAGATAAGTAATCACAGGTATCGCCGGTGGAGGGTGATCAGATGCTTTGTGTCGAAGGGTGTATACCAAATGTACGGGAGGCCTAGGGTCAGGAACAGTAACTTGTGGAATATTTGTCGAAAGTGTGGACTCGGGAATAGTCATCGTGTAAATGAGAATATCATCATTACTCTCAAGAATATCTGCCTTAGATGATGAAAAAGGTGTATTTTCATGAAATGATGCATCAATATAAACAAGATAGCGACCAGTACTCGGACAAAAACATCTATACCCCTTTTGGACTCGAGAATAACCCAAGAAAATACATTTTAATGATTTGGGATCTAACTCTGTAAGATGAGGATTAACATCTCTAACAAAACAAGTGCAACCAAATATTTTAGGTGGGATAGGAAAAAGCTCTTTGTTTGGAAATAGACAGTGATAAGGAGCTTTACTATTCAAAACAGCAGATGGCATTCGATTTATCAAAAAACATGCAGTAAACATGGCATATGTCCAAAACTGTTTACGCACATTCATTTGGAATAGAAGAGCTCTTACAGTTTCTAACAACGCATGAAGTTTGATGAATAATGTCATGTTGAAGCATAAATGACTTAAATGTAGCAGATAGATATTCTTGGGCATTGTCTCCTCTTAACACCCGAACAGGAACGTTAAACTGAGTTTTAATTTCAGCACAAAAGGAAGAAAAATGAGTGAACAACTCAGATCGACGTTTCATGAAATACAACCATGTCATACGAGAATAGTCATCAACAAAGGTAACAAAATATTTAAAACCAGCTTTAGACACAGCCGGGCAAGCACCCCAAACATCAGAGTGAACAAGGTCAAATGGAGCATTTGCTCGTTTATTAACCCGCGGGCTTAAGCTAGTACGATGGTGTTTCGCAAATTGACATGACTCACATTGTAAAGAGGTCATCTTATTAAATTGGGGATTTATTTGCTTCATTAATGGGAGAGATGGATGTGCTAATCGGTAATGAGCATCTAACAAAGTCCCAACTCCAAGACAAGAGATACCTTTTGTGATGGATGTATCCAAAATATAAAGACCAACTGACTCATGTCCTTTACCAATAATCTGCTTCGTTAACAGATCTTGAAACACACAATATCCAGGAAAAAATATTACAGAACAATTAAGAGTACGAGTGATTTTACTGATGGAAAGCAGATTAAATTCAAAATTAGGAAGACTCAAAATAGGCGATAATGGTAATGTAGAAGTTGAAACAACAGTACCAGATCCAAGAACGGGTGAGGTAGATCCATCGGCTAAAGTGACACTAGAAGTAGATTAATATGAATGAAATGACGAGAATAGACTAGGATTACCGGTCATATGATCTGTGGCACCTGAGTCAATGACCCATTTCGAGGATGAGGAAACAAGACATGTGTTTGAAATACCTGAATTAGAAACTACTGAAGTAGGGACAGAGGAATGCTTTAGTGATTCTTGGTAGCAAATAAATTTGGCATAGTAGTCTGAAGAAATAGCAATTGATCCATCAGAGGAATTGGTAGCGGAAGCAACACGAGCAAGCTGATTTCCTTGATTTTTGAATAGCAATTTTCTACATTCAGGTATTTCTTTTTGATCAAGTGTCCGGGCTTCTTGCGGTAATTGCATATTACTCCTCTATCAAATTTACCTGTACAAAACATTTCTTTTTTATTCTTTTTTTTTTGTTTTTTTTTGTATGAGTCAACAAAAAAATTGAGATATTCTGTGACAACTTACGGACTTAATTGCACGAGATATATGATGTCGGTCCCCAATATGTGCGAACAATTAGTGAAAGAGGGGATATTCACAAATAACCGATGCCAGGCCCCAGTAGATATGTGATGGAGTATATGGGTCTGAGCCCCAGGACCCACATACCCGGAAGAACAGAGCACAAGACAACAGAGTGGCGCCCTCGTCGGCCATGACGCCCCCGTCGGCCGAAAAGGTGCCAACTCAGATTACGATCCTGAGCCTGAGGGACTCGGGTGCCCTCGTCGGCCGCGCCCTCGTCGGCCGTGCCCTCGTCGGCCACGCCCTCGTCGGCCACGAAGACCTCCCAGAATCGGATCCTATACTTACTCATTTGTACAGCCCATTAGAGGCTTTGTATTCGGCCCAGTAGCGGTCCAGTTGTAAATGGGCCTCCCAAGCCCAAGGCTTGGGAGTCCAACCCTAATTTTCTCTATAAATACTCCCCTTGGGAGTAGTTATAGGGGTGACAAAATCATTCTATTGAAGCATATTATTGCACTTCTCTCTCTAGCTCTCACTTCTCTCTAGAATCTAGGAGTTAATACTCTATCATTTGGTGCTCTCGTTGAGAGCTAGAACAATCAAGTTAGCACCCTTCGTCGCTACCAAGCACAGCTAACCACTGATCATGGGGAGAACCAAGTCAAACCGCAACCTCGTCAGCAAAGTCATCCCTGAGGACCAAGAGCCCAGGGAGCACGATGAGGACGCCACGACCGACCAGGTCGGCGGAGGAGACCTCTTCCAGGAGGCCTTCAACCTCACGACGGACCTCCGCAACCAACTCAACGGCGGAGTCCCCGACGCCCGCCTCGGCCTGGAAAAGAAACGAGCTGAGAAGACGGACCACGCCCCGGCCCAGCCTATGGCCGCGGCCTCTCCGTCCGTGGATCCACAGGTCCAGGCCGCGCTGTCGGTCATCATCGCCAGCCTGGCTCAGAACCCCACCGTCCTCAGCGCGCTCTTGCCAAGGACCGGGGGAAACGTCACTCCACCTCCTCATCCCCAACCACTGGCTGACCAGATAGGCAACAATGAGGGGGTTGTGGCCCAGGACACGGCGTCGTCCCACTCCCACCCTGCTTCCCCTCTTCGGCCCGGGCAGACCCCAGCGCGTGGAAAAGCCTCTGCCTTTAATAGGCTAGGTGACACGCGCCGTCGTCCGGTTACGGAGAGGATGGCGGGACGGATTGGTGATCTTCGTCCTGGCTCGCCAAGGGAAAGTTTGGGGTCTGTGTCCCGGACAGCGGACCAGCCCCGCCCGGACAAGGGCAAGGGGGGAAGTTGCACGAGGACGACGCGCGTCACCAGATCAACGCGGCTCACAACGAGCGCCGGAGGAACCAGCCGGGCGCCGCTGCGGCCGATAGGGACCCCCGGGACGAGGTCATCGCCCAGCTGGAAAGGAGGTTGGCTCAGATGGAGGCCAAGCAGTCGGCCAACGTCCCTACGGCCGGCGCCTCCAACGACCCCGGCCTCAACGCGCTCATGAACAAAGTCAGCGCCCTGGAGAGGGAGCTGGCCGAAGGGCGGGGTGACCCCATCATCCAGGTCAGGACTAGGACCCCTTTCACCAACAGGGTCCTCTCGGCCCCCATCCCTGAGAAATACAGGGGGAACGCCATCAAGTCCTACGATGGCCGATCAGACCCCCAGGAGCACTTCAGCCGCTATCAAAACAACATGCTGATGGTGAATGCGTCAAACGAATACCTCTGCCGTTGGTTCCTCTCTACTCTCGAGGGGCCAGCGTACGAGTGGTTCAACGGACTGCCAGAGGGAGGCATCGACTCATGGCAAGATCTCGCCCAACGCTTCCTCACTCACTTTGCCGGAAGGAAGCACGCCAAGAAGTATTTCACCCACCTCCTCTCCGTCAAACAGCAGCACGAGGAGTCCCTCCGGTCATTCATCGACCGGTGGACGAGGGAGACAGAGAAAGTCGAGGGGGCCGATGAGCGTACCCTCCTCGCCTTGTACCAGGGAGCCCTCCGCAGCTCCCCGTACGCCAGGAGTCTCATCACTGACCCCCCGAGGTCGTACGCCAAGGCGCTCCAACGCGGAGGCTTGTATGCCGACGCCGACGAGCTCCACAATCACAAGAGAGAGGGGGGCCATCCCCCCAAGAAGACAAATCCTTCGCCGGCCTCGGGTCCGTCCCCGGCCGGCCAGGGTGCCCAGGGCCGCCACGGCTCTGGTGGACAAAGTAAGAAAGACCGCCACTGGCGGCCGAGGCTGGAACGGCCGGGGGTAGCCCTCACCCACCCGGTCGGCACCATCCTCGATTATGCCGAGAAGCATGGCCTCATCGAGCAGGCTCCTCGGCCGGCCGAGGAGATCCTGGCTATCCAGCAGGGCGGCATGTACTGCCGGTTCCACAAGAACTCGTCACACAACACCGACGATTGCATCACACTGAAGAAGGCCATCGAGCGCCTTATTCGCCAGGGGGAACTCTCCCAGTTTGTCAAAGGTGGCACACGAAAAAACACTTGGGTAAACACCGGCAGACGTGGGGGCGAACTCTCTGCGAAGAAGCGCGAGATTGGTAGGCTCAGCGACGACGAGGACTTCGAGGAGCCTCCGCCGAAGAAGAATCACATCCACCTCATCGTAGGTGGGAACACTGGGGGGGACTCCGCCACTCAGAAAAAGAAATGGGCCCAATCCCTATACATTGGGGAGGTGTCCCACGTTCCCCCCCAGCTAAAGAAGCAGCGGACGGAGGCGATCACCTTCACCGACAAGGATCTGCCTCCGGGTACGGAATCACACAGGGATGCCCTCGTCATCCGATGCGAGATCGGCGATTCCATCATCCACCGTACTTACATCGATACGGGGAGCTCCGTCAATGTGATGTACTTGGACACCTTCAAGCAGCTGAAGCTGGACAGAGCTCTGCTGAAGCCGATCAAAACCCCGTTATCCGGCTTCACCGGGGACTCTATCGACGCCGAGGGCACGATAGTCCTCCCCGTGGAAGTCGGTGACGGCCCCCATCAAGCCAAAATTGACATGGAGTTCATGGTGGTCAACCTCCAGTGCGCCCACAACCTAATCTTGGGCCGGCCAGAGCTGGGGGACTTGGAGGCCATCATCTCCATGAAACACCTATGCTTGAAGTTCCCCACCAATGATGGCATCGGCTACGCCAGAGGAAATCAGAGGATAGCCAGAGCTTGCTACCTCAAGCTGACGAGGCCGGCCGAAAGGGAAGGACAACGGATAGACACCATCACGGCCGCCGTCGCCCTGGACGAGGAGAGGCCACATGCGGAGCCGGCCGAGGAGGTCGAGGAAATCCCTCTGGATACCTCCCGGCCGGAGCGGGTTCTCAGGGTCGGAAAGCAACTCCCCCAGGACCAACGAGACGCCATCCTCCTCGTCCTACGGTCATACGCCGTTGTCTTCGCGTGGGGCCCGGACGATATGCCCGGCATCAGCCGCCAGGTGATCGCTCACCGGCTGACCGTCGATCCGGCCTCCGCGCCCGTCAAACAGAAGCGGCGCTACTTGTCCGCTGACAGGCGGGACTTCGTCAAAGGGGAGGTCGCCATGCTCCTATCGATCAAACATATCAAAGAGGTGAAGTACCCAACATGGTTGGCCAACGTCGTCCTCGCACAAAAACCGCCGACGTTCAGAATGTGTGTTGACTACACTGACCTGAACAAGGCGTGCCCCATGGACCCGTTCCCTCTCCCCAACATTGATCAGTTGGTGGACGAGACGGCGGGGTGCGAGTTGATGTCGTTCCTCGACGCTTTCAGAGGGTACCACCAGATCTCCATGCACGAAGATGACGCCGAGAAGACGGCATTCATGACCCCAGAGGGAATATTTTGCTACCTCGTCATGGCCTTCGGACTCAAGAACTCCGGCGCCACCTATAGTAGGTTGGTGGCCAAAATCTTCAGAGCGGTCCTTGGCCGGACGATGGAGGCGTACGTCGACGACATGATCGTCAAGAGCAGGCAGGCCACCTCCCACGCCGACGACCTCCGGGAAATCTTTGAAATCATGAAGGAGTTCAAGCTCCGCCTTAACCCCAAGAAGTGCGCCTTCGGCGTCCAGGGCGGCAAGTTCCTTGGCTACATGGTCAGCCGAAGAGGCATCGAGATAAACCCTGAGAAGACGCAGGCTATCATCAACATGGAGCCACCCCGCAACGTCAAGGAGGTACAGCGACTGACGGGGCGCCTGGCGGCCCTAAACCGGTTCCTCTCCAGGTCAGCCGAGAGGGCACTCCCTTTCTTCCACATCATGCGCAAGGCGAACAGCTTCAAGTGGACGACGGAGTGCCAGGAAGCATTTGACGAATTGAAAAGGTACCTGTCGTCCCCACCCGTACTCTCCAAGCCCAAAGCCGGCGAAACCCTCTTCCTGTACTTAGGGGTGAGCACGTCGGCCATCAGCTCCGTGCTCATCCGTGAGGACGAAGGGGTGCAGAAGGCAATCTTCTACATCAGCAAGACGCTCAGGGAGGCCGAGCTCAGGTACTCCCCTATTGAGAAGACGGTGCTGGCTATCGTCCACACCGTGAAGAAGCTGGGGCACTATTTCCAAGCCCACACCGTCCATGTGCTGACCCAGCAGCCTCTTGGCGCGCTCATGAGGAGCCCCACTAGCTCCTCGAGGATGGTGAAATGGGCGATCTTCCTCAGCCAGTTTCAGATTGAGATCAAGCCACGGCCATCTATCAAGGGGCAAGCCTTGGCCGACTTCGTCATTGAATGCACAGCAAGGGAGACGGCCGTCGCCAACCCCGGGCCGGAGCCGGACGACGCGTGGACCCTGTTCACTGACGGCTCGTCGGCCGCGAAATCATGCGGCGGCGGCGGCGTCCTCATATCCCCTGAAGGATTCAGAGCCTACTATGCCATCCGC